TGAGGGATGAATCTGAGATCTCAAATACTGAAAATATTGCAGCTTTGATTTTGTATAAAAGTATATAATCAGCGGTGAAGAAATAATTCATACCTTGGACTATAAGTAAGATTAAGACTGCAATTGTGCTCAAATGATAGAGCAGAGAGAACAAATGCTGAATGACCAATTAGTATACAAGTGGCACCCTAATAATAAGCATGGCATTGCAATGGAAGAGCACAACTAGACTAACCACATTTCTGTGTCGCTAATTTACAAGTAATTGTGGTGTACAGAACTTTCTCCTATTAAATAATTTTGAGCATGACAACAAAACCCCCGCTATGACAAAACCTGAAAGACTTGTTCATCTCAGCACTGCCCTTGCATAAACATTTATATTGTCATTTACTTTACGAGAAAGCAGGATGCAGTTTAGTTTTTGAGGTTTTACGGAGCTTGAATGAGTCTGTAGGCTTTTGCATGCAGCGAGTGATGAACTTTGTGTTGTAGTTTTCAGTGTTTAAGAGATGATTGGACTTTATATTCCATACAAACTCAGTCTCTGCTGTTTCACTTTGCACTACACCAGCAGGTAGGTGTCTTCATGTATTCCTATTGTATTCCAGCTTTTATGTACTATTTCATACTATATAATAGATTACACATCTTTTGTTTAACTGCAAGTCATTAGGAATTATTCTGACTTAACATATTGCTGCAATCTCGCCCAAGTGGTAGACATACATTGCCATCAATAAAGCCATGAAATAGAACAAATAGGCTGATTTTGTTCAGCAAATGAGCAGTAAATCAAATGAGTGATTATATTGTCATAGCTGTCAGTACTACCTGATGTCCTGTCTGTTACAGGTGGCTATGTATATCAGATGATATATGACTGTGTGTATGGTGACAACATCATGACAACGTGGGCTTCTTTGTAAAAAACATATTTAACCTGAAGCTTTCCACCATGTATGTTGGCTTTTGAGAAACTGGCATGAAGTATGCAGCCCATTATAACAGTCAGACTTGGAGAATAAAAGAAAGAAAAGGTCAAGTGGAGACTTTTTGCAAGATTATTCAGAAGGAGCACTTTGGATAGGAAAGCTATGTTTTTTTATTACTTGTACCTTTGAAAAAGGAAATTTTGAAGCAAGATATTAAAAGCCTATGCCACTTCATTGGTTTAATTTACGTCACTGGAAAAGGAAAACAATTGTTCTCTCCCTACTCTTTAATTAAAGGGCTAGAAGAAAACCGTTTAGCCCATGACTCTCTCCTCTGCACTCTGCCTGGAAGCAGGCTCTACGTCCAACCGGTCATTTAGCTAATTTTGTGGTCTAATCATGTCGACACTCCAGTGCCTCCGACTATCAGAGTCCATCAGACTAAGCTAGCTGACTACAGGAAGCAGTCCATGCTTGAGTGCAGTGTTATGGGTTTGTTTCCTCAGGATATGAGGGTGAGCAGGCTGAGAGATGGGGTGTCGTCAACACATATCCTGGCCGACGGGGACCAGAGCTTCCAGCTTCACTCTTACCTGTTCACACCCAGCAAAGGGGAAAGGGTGAGCTGCAGGGTGGACCACAGCAGCATGAAAGAGGGCCTGGAGGTGGACTGGGGTAGGGGTTAGTCCAGAAGCGAATAAACAAACAAATAGTGTTGATATTTAGACATTTACAAATGTCATAACTTAGTTACCATATGTGTCTTTTTTTACTTAATAGCAAATGAATAACACTTCGCATGTCTAAGACAAGTTAGTACATGGACCGCCCTCTAGACTCTGGGGGTGTAGAGGAGCCAGTGGAAGATCAAACTGCATTGATTAAATCTCCTGAAAAAGTCTGAAGATAATGCCGTGTTCATGCCTTATGGGATGGATGGCAGAGATGGAAATGATTGCCATGTTAACGAGCATTCGCGTCATCTGACAACTCAGGAAGGTTGTATGATTACAGAGTTGGTTGTGTGAGGGTTAAAAATACTGTGCATTGACAAAATTACAATATATATCCAATAAATTAGGGTTTAATTATACTGAATGATGGACTTTGGCTGACGTTAGGCATCCATGTTTGCTTTGTTTTCAGGTTCTTCTGTATTATTAAGCTCCCAGTCGGATATATCAGAGCTTTCAAAAAAGTTCACTTTTGACATGAAGTTGAAGTTGGTAACATGTAATTATGATTGCTCTGATATGACATGAATGCAGCATAATGGCTGTGATGAGGAGGTGGTGGATGGCAAAGTAGTCTGAGGTCTCTCTGTTCCTCCCCTCAGCCTCAGCCTAAGACATTCTCACTTCTCAGAGGCCCATGACTTTCAAAACCTACAGTTTTCTCCCAGTCCGGCAGTTGTCCCTTGCATGTTCCCATATTTCTACATCATCTGACCTCCACACCCACCTGTTCACCTGCTCCTCATTCCCTCATTTCTCCCTATACTAGCCATCCAGCACCTACTCCCTACCAGTTGGTCTACTGTGCCCCTATAGCCATAGAGTTCCAGCTGCTGCAGCTGCATGCCTGTTTCCTACATGGTATTTTCCTGCCTGCTTGCCTTTCTGAATTCTTTACCTGTTGTTGATTGACTGCTTGTTGCCGAAATACAAGCTCAGTTAACCTTATCTGCTGCATGAGCCAAATATCTACAGCCAGAATCGTTACATACTCAGTCTGAGTTTTTCCAAAAGCTTCATCTGATGTAAAATACAATTATAGAGGAATTTCCTGGCACATTCGAAGGACACCTTATCTTCTTCCTTCCCACAGTTTTGTAATGCACAATTTTAATGTTCAAGAAAACGTTGTGTTTCCTAGCAAACAATTAAAAAGTGGGCCAGAGTGTCCATGATAAGAAACATTTGCTTTATATCTTAATTAAAAGTAATTCCATCTATTGTGTGTGTATAGGGAAATTAGGGAATATTATGGTATTATTAGGCTAAAAGTGTTTTTCCCCAAAGCTTGATTTCAGACGGTGCCAACTTGATCTTCATGTCACCTTATAACATTTTATTCCTGGCCTAGGAGGGTATTGAATAAGTAAGTACTCTGATCTACTATAGGATCTGTGAGCAAATTAAAATGTCACTGTCATTGTTTCCCTCACTTAAACACCTTTGGGATGCTAAATACCTGAAGAATGCAGTGGGGATCATCTCCTTCTTTGTCAGCTTCACAGCAGCAGCTGTTAGAGCAGTTTACTATTGGTGGAAACAGAGGTTTGTTGACGTCAGTGTGCGTATTATGAAACCACTCACTTTTCTTATGTGCAGTGTTCATTGTTTAGTCAGAGATGGTGAAAGAGACCAGACTGTGAAAATTGATGTAGTTAAGTTACGAAATATAACAGGTCATCAGGTTTTATAACACTTTCTTTTCATATTTCAGGTTTGACTTCAGTCCATTAGGCAGCAAGGACAAACATCCCCATGTCATCTTTCAGAATTATAGAGGTTTTAACAGAAGGTAGTCTTGGTGTTAAGATGAATAAAACATAATAAAGCTCAGCTGAATGCGTGGATTAGGTTACATTATAAAGTATTAAAGCTGGTAATAAGAAAATAGTCCCTCGCAATATGCTGGCTGCCGTGACTGACCTACAGTGGGAGGAGAAGATGACAACTGGCTCCCTGACATGGCAGAATTCCTTTTTCTCCCTTTTTTTCTTTTATCATTTTTGTCAAGCAAGGACTCAACTGAGGTATTATCCCTAAAAAAGTGCTATAAATTGTTCCAACTTTTTGTTATGATGTTTTTGTAAGATGAAGGTGTCCGACCTGTCACTTAACACAAGTCTCTCACCTTGAAATAAGACTCATCATCTTTACATGACATGTCACATATGTGTATGCTGGATCTATTTGTCTATAAATAAAATAAAATAAAATAAAAATAGAATCTTTAATTATAAACTTAAACTTAAGTATAGTGTAATGCTAATGCTACTTTTAGGGTGTGTAAGAGTTGTGGCATTTAGCGGCGTAGTTGCAACTCACGTCGCTCCACCCAACTACAGTGGCGGGGAAATGCACAAAAAACACAAAGACCCCCATCTAGAGCCAGTGTTTGTCCCTTTAGTGGAGACCAAAACAGAGCTAAAATGAGAGTGAATATTGGACTAACATTCATCAGTAATCAACTTTTTTACAGCTTTTTGGCCAGAAATTGAGTCATTACAGGTTTAAAGATAGTGTAAGTCTAGTATAGTATACTATATATGTTGTATGATGATAAATAAATTATACATGTACAGTTATGTATATTGGAAGATGCAAAAATATACATTCAGATGTATCCAGTGTGTTAGGGATGTGTCTAGAAATGCTACCATCCTACCTAGTTATTGTCCTAAATGTGTAAATATCGTCAGAGAATTTGTATTATTTTCAGGTTCATGTCTAAAAATATGAGTGTGGGAAGTTGGGTGTATGAATAAAAAGCTGTATCAGTGACACCTAGATTATGAGGCTGTTTTTCTTATTTCAGTAAAACTGGGCTTTTTTTTAGTTTTTATCAGACAACTGTGATATGGTGTGATGTCTGAGCATATCCAGGCGAGACAAAATAAACAGTTTACACCTTTTCTTCTAATCTCTTATTTACTGGCACCACACGTCTGAATCTTATTAATCTTGGACAACAGCAATCCTTGCAACAATCGATTACAAGACTTCATAACTAAGATGCTGCTGCTGAACCATATCCTGTGGATTACATTTGTAAAGGTAGCACAGACCCGTGGATTTTCTATTTGCTGCTGAAATGTTAAATTCCCAAAAATTTGATTCACAGCATGTTGTAATGTCCAAGATGAATGAATTATTAGAAGCATAGCAGAGATTATTTGTCTCTGAACGTCATGGAGAAAAAAACATTTCCTTTTCCAACACCAGCTGTTCATTCCCACACCGCTCTCTGACTCTGTAAATGATCCATCCTGATACGAGTGGTCTATTTTGGAATTGACTGTGAAGCTATAAGAGCTTTGAGCCTGAACCCCCGGTACTTGTCAGTTGGCATTTCAGAGTGAAACACTGACTCACTGCTGTCAATATGGCAAGTCTGTTCACCGTTGTGGCCCTGCTTGCTGTGCTGTCCGGAGGGTTATGTGAGGAGAAAACCTTTTTGCAGCGAGCCGGTGCTGCCTTTAGCACAAGACACTACAAATCTATGCTTACTGTGAACAACGGGGAGCAGTTTGGAAACTGGACCTGGCCTGAGATGTGTCCTGACCAGTTCTTTGCTGTTGGCTTCAGTATCAGGGTAAAGGCACTGACTCTTTCCCGAATTACAGATACTCTAATTAATATAAATTTACTCTGGCAAGGCAAAGAAAAATATTTTTTAAATATTTGGTGATCAGATGAATCACAATCTACATTTAATTATAAAAAAACTGAGGGAAAACACACACAACAGGCAGACATCCAAAAACAAAAAAAGTCCAATACTACTTGTTAAGGTCACCGTTTGAGCAAACAGCCTTCTTCAGGATGAGAACAAAAACTCATCATCTGACCAGCATAATAACCAAGGCAGGTGTTGCAAACCAAGGCAATCAACTTGAGGCTAACTGAGACTTTGCCTCATCATTTTTGATACTGTAAATATCTGTCACATAGTGACTTGTAAGCTTGGAAGCAATTGAATCAATTATTTATCTGGCTTGTATGTATGGTGGTTTGTTTTTTGAATGTTATCACTTTTCTTTTGGTGTCTAATTTGTGCTTGTTTTCTTGATAATGTGGACATGTGATGCGCCTTCCACTGGCCTCAAGTTGATTGCCTTATTGTTTATTGTTTTATTGTTTATTGATAAAACTGGCTGTTGTTCTTATCCTAAAGATAAGCTAAGAAGCAGAAGATACAGATAATAAGAACTGTTGTTCTCAAGTTGAAATAAGTGCATTGAATTTGAGAGTTTGCCTTTCCTTTTACGGTTTAATTGAAAAGGGTTGGAAAATTAAATCTAATCTAATTTCAAGCCAACATGTTTGTCCATATGTGCATGAAACCGTTTTTGGTTGCTGTAGTTGTTCCTCTTCTCTCCATACTCCTTTGCTAAAGAGACTTCAGTGAGATGGGAGACACAATTCAGATCAATTCACAGCCAATATGGAAAGGTGGAACAATTACAGTAAACAAAAACGTTTCAATGTACAAATAAAATGGGCATGAGAGTATAGTTGCAAACCTAAAAATGCAAACATATTCTTCTAAGGTGGTTTACAAAGACTTGAGAAAACAGCATTTGAATAACAATTCTCAGTAACTGAGATGAAATAGACCAAGCGCGAATTCGCAGCTGCGACCACATATGTGCATGCATCCATGCATTCATACACACACACAACACACAACACACAACACACACACACAAACACTTGACCTATATGCCAAAATTCAGCCTCCTAGAGTGAAAGGACAGAATAAGCTATAGAGCTGCTGGTCACAGCTAAAATGCCTCTTTTTGTTTCAGATATAACCCTCACTTCTCTGCATAGACCACAAACCATAACATAACAATCTATTCTTTAACCTGATATGAATTTGCTATACATTTTCTGGTGAAACAGCCATACATTTAGTTGTTTCATCTGAATAAGATAACATGAAGATAAGAAGCTTGTTTGACCAGAGCTGCTTCTGGGAACTGTGTGTGGGAACTGACATCTGTTTTTTGTTTCCTCAGGTGGAGTCTAACCAGTATGGGGCTGATGACACTGCCCTGAACGGCATCCGCCTCATTTGTGCCAAAGACGGCAACCGAAGCTTCCTGTACTCGATCGAATCCCACACCGGCTAGTAAGTAGCCCGCAATGGTACCACTGTTTAATAAGGCACACTTTTAAAAGGGATTAGAAGTTGTAATCAATGGCTTTATTTATTGGTTAGTAAAATTAATTAATCTATATGCATTTAATGGATCCCCAACTAACAGGTTGTCCTTTCGTTTTGGTAAAAAAAGAAGTTATGAATGTTGGGAACCCCTTAATGAATGCTCATGGGTTTGTCACTGTCTAATCAACAATTAAAGGTCCAGTGTGTAACATTTAGGAGGAGTTATCGGCAGAACTGGAGTATAATATTAATACGTTTGTTACAGTTAGTGTATAAACACCTGAAAATAAGAATTGTTGTGTTTTTGTTACCTTAGAATGAGCCGCTTTATCTACAGAGGGAGCAGGTAGTCTTCCACAGAGGCCACCATGTTGAACCGGCATGTTTCTACAGTAGCCCAGAACAGACAAACCTGGCTCTAGATAGGGTCTGTGCGATTTTGCAAGTTTCGAGGCCACCATAGTTTCTCCTACTTGCTTGAAAAGGCTGCGATGTATTCACTTCATTTTTAATCATCAAATCTGCTGTTGTGTTGTTAACAAATAGATTTTGGTCCAGATTGTCTATAGCCCATAATGTATGATATCTGATATTACTGCTTGAACATTAGGTCAGCTGTTCTTCCACACCTCCTTGTGGTTTGTTTCTTCTACAAGAAAGTTTTATTTTAAAGTGCACAAACTGTTAGGGACAGGGGCATGGAGACTTTAAGAAGTGGCATTAAGACTATAACTGTGGCCATAACACTCATTAAATTATAAGTGTAAATTAATGTGTTAAATTTGACAGCATTTAACACAGAACTGGGGCGTTTTTTAGCGGTGACAGGTGCCACCCCTCCAGATCCGCCCTAATGTGTTCTAATGTTGGACAGTAATATCAGCATATCAGTAAAAATACTTTCCTTGTAACCTTTTTGAGCATGTCTGCCACTTAAGCTGAAATGGTTTGATTGATATCTTTAAATATGCAGCTGTTTGTTGCTATGGCCAGTTCGATCTTGTGAAAGAGATCTTTTCTCTCAGCGGGACTAACCTGGCTGTACTATAAAGGTTAAATAAGAATTAGATAAATAAAGTAGGTACTTTGAAAGCAGCAGGAAGCTGGAGACCGGCAGTTTCCCATCATGTTCAGAGGGGAAATGAAAGCACTGCTTCTGCCAGGATTGCAAATTAGGTGTTCAGATGTTGAAATGTCTTGACGTCCCTCCAGTGTTTCCAGCCCCCATCTTGGATCTTTTCCTGATTTTAATTTTTTTTTTCCTTCACTATTTCCTTCTCTCCTGTCCAGCTTCGGTGACTGGTCCAGCCCACAGTACTGCCCCAGTGGTGTGCTCACCTCTTTCCAGATTCGTGTGGAGCCCCATCAGGGTCTGTTCGGTGACGACACGGCCATGAACAACATCAAGTTCCGCTGCAGCAGCAACCCGACGCTGGAGGGCCCCGGCATGGACTGGGGAGAGTACGGCTATTGGAGCCAGGAGTGTCTTGATGGAGGAATCTGCGGCATTGAGACCAAGATGGAGGAATACCAGTATGGCCTCGATGACTCCAGCCTCAATGATGTGCGCTTTCATTGCTGTGCCAAGTCTCAGCAGGTAAGATAAAGGTTTATATAGTGGAAACCAAAGCCCCGAAATAGCTGACTGGTTAATGATACATCCACAGAAAGTACAGACTGTTTTCTCTGGATGGCTTTATTTTGGTTTATGAGAACAATCTTATTCCAGACAGGAATATGTGAACACATAGTATGTGTTGGATGTATACTGCCACTAAAAACAGTAACTTTTACCCTAACCTTAACATGCAGCAAGATGCAAGAAAACCTAACCCTTTGTCCTTTCAAGAATAAAAGTGTGGTATGGTTACAGATAATGGTGGAAGAAATACTGTGAAACCTGAGAACACATCTTAATAAAATAAGTAAGTTAACATGAAATAACATGGTAATCCTCCAAAAATCCTATTTTGACTGCAATTCAAGTTTTGCAGGATATTAAGTATTTGGCAATTTATTTCTTTTGTTCCATCGACTCATTTTCTTGAAGTTGACTTTATGTTATTACAAAAACCTGAGCCTCACTGACCACGGTCAGTAAGGCTTTGTTTTTATTTCAGTTTAGTAATCATTATATGCCAATTATGCATCCAAATAATTCTTAATGATCCATCGAAGTGTAAAGATTTCATGTTAATCACATAAAAAAAATTTCTATAAAGAAGCATTTAAGTTACTTTATTCAGATAAATTCTGTTAACACATTTTAAATAAGTTTGGAGAAATGCTGCATATGAGTGTAACTTCAATTACCTGAATGCAATTGCTACAAATTAACTTAATTTACTATAACAATAAATATCTGAGTTAATTCTATTTAATTATCTTTCATGCTCAAATAGTTTGAGTTAAAAGGTTTAAGGCAATTGGTTTCAGTTAAACTAACACTAAACATCAGGTTTTAAAGTCAACGTAAGCACATCAGTACAAACATACTCAACTAGTCCTACATTCAAAATCTAACATAAGTAAAAATACAGATGAATTATCAACAAAATGTTCTCAAGTGTAAATAGAAGTACTTGTTCTGCAGACAACTGCCCCCTGTGAGTGTAGCTATCTTAAGTGAATAACATGAGGCAATGGAAAATGTGTTTGTAGCTAAAAACAAATCAGAAGTGGTGTTTTTAGTGTTTTCAAATTCAGAGTTAATTGAGTGGCTGTGCCTGAAGATATCTCATTAACTTGAGAGCTTTTGATGATGACATGAGATGTTCCCAGACGATGAAGATGGAGGTCTGACTCCTTGAGGAACTTAACCACCAGCTGTTCCTCAGGTTTGGAAATGTTCTGGTCTTGTCGTGACACTTCATTTTAAGCCATACCATACTGTATGCTCACAACTGATTAACACTACAGGGTCAATTATTTCAGAGAACGCAAACAAGTCTGCAATGTGTAATCACAGTTACATAGACGGGAATTAGATTTGTTTGCGCACTGCATCTTTAACCTCTAGGGGATGACAGATTAATAAATCACTGTCCAATAACCAAAGTACTTTCATATTTTTGGTTTCAAGCCTTTGTTATTGGGGTGTTTGAATCTAAATAAACCAAATTAAAAACAACAACAAAGGAAAGATTTTTATTTTAATCTGGTTCAGATCAAAGAAAAGGTACTACAGGTTGGACTGCAGCCTATAAATCTGCTGTTTTTTGAGCCACAATGAGTCCTTATGAACACAGAAATCATATTGCAACAGTTTTAGTTAGCGTCCCACTCTCTGAATATAAAACGAAAATACTAATAAATGAGTGTGGTAGTGTGTTTGTTTTTTTGTATATTATTGTGTGGTACCTCTGTCCCCAGGGGTGGAAGCTAGACAGAGAAAACTGCACCTGATAATGTTTTGACCTTGGAAACAACAGTTGACACAAAAATGTCACCCCAAGGTCCATTTAGCTGTTTGGGGGCTTTCAATCATATCTTGTCCATTTTGGCTTCAAAAGCTGAATATCTATCTATGGTTTGGATCTATTTTTTAACATTTGAAGGTTTGCAGAAAGACCGTATGAAATATTTCTAATGTCAAATGTAATATATTCTGTATATAGTTCTGTGAAAACCATTCATTGTTGTTTATGATATTGTGTTTGACGTTTTTATTGACAGTAAAAGGTGAGGTGAGGTGAACACGAAGCCGACCTGATGCAGTTCGTCTCCAATGACCTGAACTCAAGGATGACAAATAATAAAAAGTCTCATTTGAATTGCTGCTGTCTCTTTAATGATTTTCCAGAACCTGAAGGTATTGATGTGTATAGTGTCAGTTGCTTCCTTTTTCAGATCAAAGTTTAGAGCAGTCTACAATAAACTGACGGTTATTTGTCAAAACCTCCAGCTGTCTAAACAAAGTTGAGTGTCACCTTCAGCAGGAAAAACAGAAAGATTAAGGAGCACCGCTTCAAAACAAGTCCTCGTCTGAAGAGCCACTTTTTATATCATGTCATCCCCTCATCACCTCTCATCCGCATGAGAGCAGCCTGTTTTCATATCCTGTCTAGTGAACCAATAAGCTCCCAGCAAAGTCAAAATAAGCGTGAGCACACAAATAGAGCTGCTGCTGACACAGGAATTTCCCAGAATTCCTCCTGGAATTGAGGTAATTAAGAAATGACAAGAGAGGGGATATTAATTAATTTACAGTTTAAGGCCTGACAAAGGTTGATAAGACAACGATTGGCACACACAGAGGTAATTGTGTTAATTAATCGGTGAGTAGTTAATCTGCTAACACAGAGTGTGTGCGGAGGACTGGGGAGGGAACTTGAGGACGTTATCAAACGCTGCGGTAATGGTTTTCAGAAGATTTTGCAAGTCAAGGCAAAGTGATTATAGTCCTTAACACACAGTTATAGTGTGCCTATCTGTTATGGTAATTAATACACTCATGCTGACCTCATATCTAAGTTCAAAGTTGGCGTTAGATGCTCAAGTGCACTTGTTGGTCTGCTTGGAAAAACAGATATAATATCAGCATGAGGAGTGAGCTCATTTCAAGTTAATGATGTAAAACACAACCATCCATCATTAGTTTTTGTCTAAAAAGTATGGATACATGCTTATTGAAGATCTGGGAGCCAGAGGTGTCATCTTTAAATAGATTATTTTTGTAACAGCCAAACTTAAATGAAACCCACAAAACGTAACTTTAAATCTGGAAGTTTCCAAAGATACTAGACATATCAGGCAGAATTTAAGGGAAATTATGCTTCAAGGCCGCTAGAATATCTCCACTTGATTCAGTCATGCACACATAATAAACATGGAGTCTTGGGTTTAAATATTTAACTCAGTGTAAACAACATTTTGCCTCAATGAAGAGTTGGAAAAAGCTGATACATTAAATATGGGATGCTGTCAGAGTGGGAAGAGATGATTTTTAATTATCTTATTCCACTTAAAAATGTATTGCAGTTCCATTAAATTGGGGACATGCAATAGAAAAAGAGGTAAGATATCCTTACTTTTATATTTGTTTAGCTTCAGAAATGCTGGATCCTACATTTCCCATAATGCAACTCTTCCCTGCCTGTTTAATGCTCCATCTTTCAAACTGTATGCCCCCAGTTAACACAGGTTGTTTAATCTCAGTCTAAAACCTGAGTTATTGTGTCAGAGCCACTGAAAACATTATACAGCTGGTTTCATACTCCATTTCACATATAAACTGACCATTACACTATGTGTAAAATAGGTGTAGTGCCACTTTAAGGAGTATAAAAGGCAATATAAGGTGGATATTATTTTATACCTGGATTATTTTATGATGACATGAAATTGAGAAAAGCTGCAAACTGTCGCAGTGGAGAAGCTCAAACATACTAATGTTTGCCTTTTGTTTTGATAAATTAGAGATTAGGTATTACAGATGTTGGCAATTCATATTCTGTTGATGAAATACTCATAATGATTCCAGAAATAACAGGGGTCTTGTTTATTTTGAGGTCTATTTTGCAGCACATGAGGCCTTCAACAGCCAATAGATGGCAGTGATGCGTCAAGCAGCACTTTAATCTCACCAGAAACAATGACTTTTATGACACAACACCTCCAATATAAACATTTTAGACTGATTATGTGGGTGTAATGAATTCTGGATCAATGAATTCAACATTAAACACCTGGCATAGCCACGCACCTGCACCTCTTAGTGAACCTCAGAAGCCCTCTGGGCACAAAGGCCACAAACCTGCACTGAATAAACGTTAACCCCGCCCTGAATGCTATTTTCAATCATGAAAACAACATTTTTTCGACTCACAAAAAGAAACTTCATTATTTAAAACATGCTGCCCTCAGCAATTTGTTGTGTAGCATTACCTCTGGGTCCTACGGTGGAACCTCAAGGATGTAACGCCCCGGGTCATAAGTTTAATATGAAAACCACAGGCTCAATGTGTTTCTGACCAGCTTAGTGGCTCGCCAAAAGTCCCCAATCTGCCTCAAGAGCCATTAACGCTTCCTGCAGTGAACTGAATGAATATGGTGTTTGTGGGTTTGGTTGAAAGCAAAGCCCTCCTCTTAATGACCTTATACGCTCCCCTGGGCTCCTCGCTCATGATAGATCACACTGGCTGTGTTTTCTCAACTGTAAATATAGTTCTCTTCATAAGCACCGTAGGGTTATTATGATGAGTGCCGGCCTTGGTTTTTATGTGAAATATTGATGCAAGAGGGACAGTTTTGGGGCTGAATGGCATTGTTTTGATGTAAGGGCGAAATGAATGATCTTGTTGTGGTGTTAGAGTGTAATAACTATAAAGCTGATCTATTCCAACGTTTCCACAGTAATGACGGTAATAACCAGATGGAGCAGATTTAAAAAAACAACTTCTCCTCTCTTAGAGAAAATAAGTGATTTGTGTCTATAAGTCTTATATCCCTGCTGCATTCTGCTTCTTTTTGTATTTTCACTGTGTTCAGTGGACTGAAGTTGTAATTTCATCTTTCAGTTACTTTCTGTATTTCTCCAAGGGCAGCATGGGGTGTCCTTGTGCAGAGCAGTATGAACTCGTTTCTGCTGGTTAATGACACAGAGATAACATGAGCACTAACCATTGTGTCTGCTCATTCTCAAGGTTGCAGGTAAGGCTGTTGAACACAAATCTGATCTTCAGAGGGTTTTTTTCTGTCTTAGACTAGCTCTGTCTTGTGTGTATGTCACAAAACTGGAAAGGCTGCAAAATAGACGGTAAATAAATATAAATGTAATTTACAACTGCAGGTAATGCTTATTTTAGTGTGACTTTGCTATGTAACCAAGCATCTTCATTTTAAAGGTTGTATGCACAAATGTGAGGAAAGATAGCAAGATTTATGTTCTCTGCTAGACTGCTGTATTTTGTTTCTAATATAATTATTATTTTTTCTTTTTTCTTTTCTTTTTGTTATAATTTTACCCAATAATTAAATGTTTAAGCTAATTTATGTTCAAACCAACGTTTCAAACCTTTATACATCCAAAGCATTGTACTACTCAGTGATTAAAAGTATATTACAGTTGTCTATGTGATACGTCTTGTGAACAATAGTAAGACAATGTACGTGACAGTATGAATAAATTGAAATGGACACTCTTCTGTTTTGGACTTGATCTTGACTCTCATACTTGGACTTGTCTTTGACTCAACATAAAGGTCCAGTGTGTAACATTTAGGAAGCTCTATTTGCAGAAATGGAATATAATATATGTTTTCATCAGTGTTTAATCACTTGAAATAAGAATTGTTATGTTTTGTTACCTTAGAATCAGCCGTTTCTGTTTATAGACTCTGCAGGTTGCTTTCCATGGAGTCCAACATGTTGAACCACCATGTTATAGCCCAGAACGGTCAGAGCAGACGTTGGCTTAAGATAGGGCTTTTCACGTTTCTCGCATTGTCTCTCCTTCATGCTTGGAAACGGAGGGTAAAGTAAGGGAGTTGCAATTTGCAACTGCACTGCTACATGCCAGTAAATTCTACGCAATCCCTTTGAGTTGTCTACCCCCTTGATTGCAGGATGTATGAATCAACTGGAAAAGTTAAACAGCATTAATAAGTTCAGCAGTCAAATCTAGCGCTGCTCCGTAATTCCTGGAAAAGCTTTTTGCGCTCCAGCATCTAAGTTACTTTTAATAGCAGCTGCCTTAACAAACAACAGACACCTTATTTCCTTCGACACAAAAGAAGCAAGGATACATGTACACATTAAATATAAATCATTTTATAATATACAAATTGTACAGATGTCATGAACAATAGGAATGTGGACATACTCAGGATAGCAAAGATAAAGAATACTTTTTCTTCCTCGATAGCAAACACTGCTATGCAAGTGACATCAGCACATGATCAAAGATATTCAACATTCAAGATGGCAGCCGAGGTGATAAAAAACTAACATCAGAGACAAAAACCTAAGAATACATTTTCCAGAGGCTGTGAGCAAGCTAAAGTGACAACACAGGAAAAAAATGACGGCATCCTATTGTATCATGTTCTGTCATTTCTACTCTGCCCATTTCACATCATAGTAGCACACAGGAAATGAACCATTACATTTTTATTTATTTTTTACAGCATTACCAAGAACGATTGCACCAGCGCCACTATTGAGGCTCAGAGACAATTATGCTGATATAAGACAGGAAACTGTATATTACCCTTTTTTTTTACACAAACGGGTAGAAGGCTGCAAATGTATATTTAAGTCTAACATTAGTCAAAGGTCTCCTTCTTTTCACGGACGGCTAAGTTAACATGGTTCAGCATCATTTAACTGATGAAGCGTCAAATCCTGCCTCGCTTTTTTTCTCCCTCTATGTGTTTTTCTTTTTTGTAATACTAAGAAAAAAAAATATCACAATTACCCACAGTCCCCTGGAGTGTACTCATGTCAGAGGTTAGACTGCACTGCAACCAATCAGCCCTTATCAGGGAGAGATGGGGCCCTGAAGGCCATGGCCTCAGGTAGGACGGGCGGACACAGGGTTACCGGTTGTAACTTGTGTCAAGGTTACGATCATCCATGTTTGTGGATCTCCAACTGGAATGTAGTGGGAGTCAAAAAACAGTCACATGAGATCATCTCGGCACTTAACTGATTTTCCAAACTCTGCTCTTCTAGATAAAGTGGAATATGACCTGTCTGTTTTCACAGGATGTCAGAGGGGAATAAATGTCACAGTTTCAGATTTTAAAAAAATGGGGGAAAAAGGAGAAAGGCAGGAATACTAAAATAAATTCATATTCATAAACAGATAGATGACAGTTAAAACATTTATCTTGATGCTAGAGAAAATGAAGAAATTGATTAAATCTGATGAAAACTAAGCTGACCAGGATTCATTCAGTAGGGAAATTTCATATATTTATAATGATCTCGTCAGCTATCAAAAGGCTTCATTTGGTATTGCCTTTCATACTTTATATTCGTCACATTCTGACAAATGTGTGAAAGTGACAGCTGAGTCTCATTTGCTCCTCAGCAGCTCTGATGCAAGAGGCAGCACAAAATATCTCTTGAATACAATAAGTGCTTATTAAAGCTCAAACAGCCGAAAGCTAAAAGCAGCTGTATGAAGTAGAAAAAAAAAAGAAAAAGAAAATACCACAGAGAATATTATGATATGACTTCATATCTTAATTCAATATAGTGGTTATTAGTCATGTGCTCGTGCAAACTCCTGTGTACAGCTGTGGAAAATCCATTCAGACTCAAATATGATCCTTGACCTTGTCTGCCATTAGCGATGACCTCACGTTCACAGGTCTGGGCTCTGTCATAGTGGAGGGCGAGAGGACAAGGAGCATATGTTTCAGGGGGTCACATACGCTGTGACCCCTCGGTTTAAAACCAACAACAGCCCTCGGGAGGTAGCTCAAAGCGTCAGTCAGAAATACATTTTAGCAAGCTTTAGCGGAACAGCAGAGGCAACGCAAAGTCACCATCAAATCTCTTGACTCAAAAACAGAACATTCACAATAATAAAAAATCGAAACATGTTAAAAATAAATCCAAAACATATTACCTTCATATAGACAAACACTTCAAATCTTTTATCCCATCACTCTGAATTCCAGTAATAAAACAGGGAACAACAGCTTCAAAATACCAACACTGACTGTAGCAAAACTTTCCTGTTTGACTATAACAAACATATAACACTTAAATCACCATTGTGCCTCTAAAAGACGTTTCTAAAAGCAGATTGTGGGCCATTTACAGTATAGTAATAAGGCTAAGCTGGTCACAGTTTTTATATTCTACTCTACACAAAAACACTTGCCATTTTACATTTTAAAAAATCTCAGCGGCGGGTGGATTCATTAAGGAGAGCACTTATTCATCATAATCGATCTTACTTGTGTGTAATTGAAGAGTTTCATCTCCAAAAAGGAGACATTTCTCTTGACCAAGGTATCATCTATTCTCATAAAACAAAAGATCCAAATTATGACAAATTATAGTCTGTCTAAAGCAGGACAGCAGGTAGTTTAAGTTCTTGATTAACCAAATGTGAACATTTTAATAAATACGTTTTCTGACATATTTTATGATGAAGTGTGTGTAATTTCCTTGCTAAATTTAACATTTTTAATGCAAACTCTTCCTCCTCAGTGCAAATGATTCCCTATGACATCACCAGTAAATCTGAAGGCTATTTGCTTGACATGTTGAGGTGTTTTGCTGTCAATACCCCCCCCCCAATAAGTGACCCCCATTATAAATGCATGATTCCTGACAGATACCCCACTGACAAAATCCATTAGTGAGCTAATGAGAGCTCTACACCGTGAACATTGCCACCTTCCTCCCTCCACTTCTCCCTCACCCCCACCCCCCTTTTAAAATGGAAAGCTACTTGATGCCGTGAAACAGCACATTATGACTTGCTTATTGTCAGAAATGATGTCTGGTAAGAGGTGCTTAAAGAGCTGGAGGTAAAATAATGAAGGAAATCTCAGTGGGGAATGTGGGACGCAAACGGCCGTTACTTTAAATGAGCCAATTCATTTATTTTATTTGACTCTCTTATGCTCTGTGGTCTTTCTCTTTCGCTCTCAACCTTTTTCTTTGTCTCAATTTCTCCTTCTCAATCTTCAGTCTTGGTCTCAGTAAACAACAATGCTCGGTCCTGACCACACAGCTTAACCTTGTTTCCGCACTGACAAGAGCTTTTGTTTGTGGCCATTGACTGGAAATTTAATTAAAAATGCAGCTTTGCGTGGAAATAAATCCTCACTCCTGTATGTAAAAGCTAACTAGGTGCATCTAAATATGAGTTCTGCCCTCAAGCTGCAAACATTCAGCTGAATTTCACATCCTTATCTGACTTGGCTTTGAATATGGAACATTCTGTATGCAAGGTGAGCTTAGCACACCACACCAAAGAGTGATTATTGGCTCTCTTTGAAGCACTTGACGGCTTAGAGCTCAGCGTAAACAATTATCTCTTCACCCTACTTTGGATTGCCTGTCGCAACAAACGTCTTTCCCTTCACCTCTACCAGTGTTCTTCTCCATGTTCCCTCCACATCAGAACTTTCTATGGTGCACAGAACGAAGGAACAAGAAATGGTGATACAGTCTGTGATCACGTAATATGCTTTTCTGAGCATACCTGCCTTTATATTGTCAGTCGTGTGGATGAAGAAGGCCTTTGTCCTGTCAAGATTCTGCCTTTTGGATTTTGGAGCTCCCTTCACAAACTGAAAAGAGCTCAACTCTCAGGTGAAAGTACACCTTGTAACAGGTGCTATAACTGGGTAGATAGAGAACTTTCTTCTATCCATTATTATAAAAAAAACTGTTATCCTTTCAGTATCTAATAAACCCTAATTAGACACATTAAAAGTTGACGTCAAAAAAAGAAAGAAAAGGCCTGGTCACACCAGAAAGTGGCAGCGCAATTTATTTCCGTACCTTTGAGAAATTTGTAATTCTAGAGGCTTGGTGAGGGAGGGACTATTTGCAGGGATATTTGGTAGACTAATGTATCTTGTAAGCTAACCACTAACACACAAGTGTTAGTCAGTCTCAATAGTTTCCTAGGTTTTATTTTTTCAGTACTGTCCTGTTCACTCCACTCTTAAATTATGGTTTATACACCATTTCATTCAATAAAGAGTCTGAGCATTGGCTAGTTATCTCAGTCGCCAACGGGACAATAAGTTCACACAGTTTATTCAAAAGAAGTATTTGTAGCATTGACCCTTGTTTCATAAATGTCTGCAGAGGCTGCCTCTTTTGTGGAGCAGTTAATACTCTGACAGAGGAGTTTAATAGGAGGAGGTAAAAGTGGTTTGGTGCAACACAGCTAACAAGATACGATAGCTTCCTCCATTTTGACTGTCAGAGTCACCATTGCTTCAAAGTTTAACACTGTCAAAATTGGTTTCTATTAATCGATTGGTTAGTGGTGCAAATTTGTGTGTCAAACTTATAAGAAAGAGAAAGAAAGAAACTGATTATACCTCCTTTGATATTTTTTTAAATGGTGTTGTTTTACATTCTGGTGTGACCAGTCCTCTAAACTGTTCATCATTCGTCATCATTCTTCACAAGTAAAAGAAGAATGCAGTTAATTTGATCATTGCATCATTCAACATTCAAACCCCCTCATCCAATTATTCCAGTGTCTCCACATTGACTATCCTGCACCAAAATCTCCTGTTTTGGATATATACATTCAGTATGTGTGGTTATACAGTAGGGCTGATGTCTGCAGTTACATGAAATTGTTCTGTGTCTATACTGTGGCAGGTTGTGGGGGACTTGTTTATGAATGATGGTAGGTTTGGAGAATGTTGCAGCGATGGGGATTGAAGCCCCTTTAATTTGGATCAGGGACAACACTGTGAATCAGTTCTTAAGATGGGGAATTTGAGAGGTAGGGCAGGGAAAAACCTTGACTTATACTACTTGGGGCTACTCTTGAGTCTCCTCTGGGTTTTGATTAGTCGGTGTGGCCAGTGAATCTGCCACGATCTCCTTGGCATTGATCTCTACGCCTGCTGGCTCTTCTGTCTTGCGTTTGATCGCGTCCTCTTCGTCCTTGTCTTTTTCCTCATCCGTCGCAACCCCGTTTTCGATCACAGCTTCAACTTTTGCTACGCACTCATCCTTCTTCTCTTTGGTCTTGCTCTGTGTTTCGACAGTTGCAACGATTTCCGTCACCTCTTGGACCTCGCCATTTTCGAAAGGCTCTCCATTCTCTTTTGATCCCGCTCCATCCAGTGCTATTTTTTCTTCTCCCTCTTCTTCTTTGCTATTTTCTGCTCGTTTGTCTTTTGTCGCCGCTCCTCCATCTTTCTTTTCAACAGTCTCTATGCTGATTTCGATCCCGTCATCGATCTTTCTATCTTCCTCACATCCCACCTCCCTTTCTTTGGATGTCTCACTTTCTCTTGCTGACTCTACATCGGTGGCATTCACCCTTTCATCCCTACTTTTCTCTTCCTCTTTCTCAACCTTTTCTTTGTCATCAAGAATCTTTGGATCCTCTGTGTCCTTCTCCATTTTAGTTTTTTTCTTCTTCTTGTTGTTCTTTGCTGTGTCTTTGATGCAGTTCTTGTTGGACTTGCTCCGGGGCTTGAAGATCAATTTCTGAAACATTCAAAGTTCACATTAGCATGTTAGTGGAATGCATTGTAACTCTTTAAATATGCTTTTGGGCACAAAGCAGTACACACAGACTTAATTAAGAATGGATCACAGTGGATCTAATATTGGGCTGGGATAACGAGCTAATTCAAATGAGTCTCACTGATGCCGAGAAGGAAATTGAGGCCATTTTGAGGGGAGTTATTGGTGGCCTCAAGGCCTGCAGTCTGACCAAACAAACAGGCAAAAATTTAATGCAATATGTCCTCAATTACTTGAGCAACTTCTGCACGGTTATACACACTATGGGGATAAAGCGAGAACTGAGATGAACTGCGAAGAAACAGACAAGAAAATCTTGTTAACGCTAGCAATTCCCTGAGTCTTAGGGCCTATTAAATTTGTTGTTGTGATGGCAGTTTAAATTCGGGTCACAGAAAGCATCAACATGGATTCATTCCATTGCGGACAAAGGTTAGCTTTAGAGGTTATCACCACTATTCAGGGTCACCAAGAAAGCATTACCAACCCTGCTTCCCCAAACAACACATTTGTCTGTTGCTGAAGAATTCCTGATATCTCAAACAGAGAGGAGTTTGTTCACATTTGTCCAGCGCTGTGTGTGTTTGGCTACTTAAAACAAAAAAAGCTGTGGAGTTGGAGGTGGCAGAAGGTGATGGTTGGCCTTGGATATATGGTGAGCCGGTTACAGAACGGCTGGTGGGAGACCCCACATTAGCCAAGAAATACAGAGAGGAATGTGAGGTCGTGTACCTTTGATTCCTTTCTCTTTCGGCCCAAGATGGGTCTCTGCAGGAAAACAATCTGTTTGGTGGACAGACTTCCATCACTAAAGGATGAGGACAGAGAGAGAAAGGGAAAGAGGAAATTACATGAATGATGTTACATTTCAACAAGACTCTGAGATCATTTTACTCTTTAATCTTTTTTTTGGCACTAATTTATTTAGAAATGATTAAAAATAAAATGAGAATGAATAGGAGATGGAAATAAGCTTTTCCCACTTGCTTTCTGACATTTAAACATTTAGAAACAATGTTACAAACACTGACAGATTCTTCATAATTTATTGTTTTCTTTGCTTGGAAAATTGCTGCAGAACTCCAAGATAAATATAATTTGTTTGAGTTAAATTCTGGGATAACACAGAGCGATGCATTCTGACCTTCCATCAAAGATAGTCAAATGATGGCCACTGCTCATGCTTTACACTCTTATCTGACAGTTTAAAGATATAGGCTCACATTTGTGGCCCAACCTCTTTACCGCTGTCATCTGTCAGTGTCGTTTCTACTCAATTTCCCTTGAGTCTTGCAAGGAAACTGATATTTCACACGCAATAGGGCAGATTTTGACGAATTCCTGAATGTCTGTGTGTAACTTGTGAACATCTTCAGCTTCTCAGAACATGTATTTCTTCTCTCTTCCTCAGTTCCACAAATATAATCCTCCATCCCATGCACATGTCACACTCCTGTGTTCTGAGAAGGATAATCTGCTCATGCTGACAGATTAATCGTGGCAGGAAATGTAGATTCATTTCTGAGTGGGCTTCCTGTCTCTCACTCACACTCTCAGTCCTTCGTCTGCTCATCTTTGTCATGCACAGCCCCTTTTACAGTTTTCTACAGTTTACTGTAGCTACTGTTAA